ATATATTATCACATATGCATGAATAATAAATCAATATTATAGGTTTTTTTTCTTTTTCTTTGACTTCTTTTTTTCTTTTTCTTTCGACTATTCTTCTTTTTTTATAAATTTTTCATCTTCTTTTTCAGTGCCTCCAAAATCATAAATCTCCAAATGTTTCCTCATTTACATTATCCTCAATAAGGTATTCATCTAGTTTTTTTCCTATATTTTCCTTTTTCCACTTTGCCTTCTATTTATGGTTTTCTTCTTCTTCTTCTTCTCCCATTTTAAGTCATTTGTCTTCTTATTCTTCTTCTTACGGTTTTTCTTGTCAAAATCCTTTAACATCTTTGTATTGTCCTATATATTTTACTTTTTTTATAATTTTTTTCTTATTGTTCTTTGTCATTTCCTTCTTCCCTTTCTTCATGAATTTCAACTTTTGATTCTTCTTCTTATTCACCTTTTGGATTTTCTTCTTCCCCATCTTTTCTTTCTTCTTCTTCATCATCTTCGACTTCTACTTCTTTGTGTTATTTCTCTTCTTAAATCTATATTTCTATTTTTTACTCTTCATATTTTTCTTTCATCGTCATCATCGCGTTTGACTTCTACATCATTTTCCTCTTCTCTTATGTCTTCTTCTTCTTCTTCTTTATTTTTTTTGTTTTCTTTTCTTCCACATACTTTCCTACTTCTATTTCATCATCTTTGAATTCTTCATCATCATTTTGTATTCTTTGAGTTTTTTTTTTCTTGTACTTCTTTTAGTTTTTATTAGACTTCTTTATCCACATTCTTCTTCTTCTACTCTTTTTTCTTCATCTCTTTTCCTATTCACCTTATTCTTGTCTTCTTCAACACTGTCTCTTTTCTTCTTCTTAATCACAACTTTTTGTTTGTTTTTTTTCTCGTTTTTTTAACTTCTTTGTCATTAACTTTGTATTTTTCTTTATGTTTTGATTTTTTTCCTCTTATTCTTCTACTTCTTTTTTTTTTCTTTCTTTCTTCCGTTTTTTCTTGTACTTCTTCATCGTGTTCGTCTCCTCCGACTTCTTTTTTATTTTTTCTTCCAGACTTTCTTCCCTCTCATTATTCATTGTATCCATCTTTTAGTTATATTACTCTTCGAGTTTTTCTTTCGCTTATCTTCATCTTTTTATTTATTTATTTTCACATTATATTGAATAAATAAACATTAGCTTGTAAAGAAGTCTTCTGGTTTATCTTCGTTTTCTTATTTGTCTTCATCTTATTCTAATAAATGTACATTAGACTGTATAATAAGTATTAACTTTCGCAGTGTTGGTAAAAAACTCCATGAAACAAAATAATTTTCTTTGTAACAAATAATATTAAATATTAAAACCAACATATTTTTCTGTTAGATAAGATACATATTTTCTGTTATAGAATATTGTTTAGAAATAAAATCGTGAATACTATTAAATATTAATATTAAATATTAAAACTAACATATTTTTCTGTTAGATAAGATACATATTTTCTGTTATAGAATATTTTTTAGAAATAAAATCGTGAATAATATTAAATATTAACAACATATTTTATTTATGTTTTATTATTCAGATAAAATCGTGAATTTAGATTTTTTTTTAATATTACAACTTATATTTTAATTGATTTATATTTTTGATTTAAACAATTTTTTTGTTTTTTTGTTTTTTTTTTTCAAAAATTAAAACAAATTTAAGAAGGGATAAAAGGTAATTAGCCACCCTGAAATTGAATGAAAGAGCTTTAAACGAAATATTCAGATAAAATCGTGAATTTAGATTTTTTTAATATTACAACTTATATTTTAATTGATTTATATTTTAGATTTAAACAATTTTTTGTTGTTTTTCTATTTTTTAAAAAAAAATTAAAACAAATTTAAGAAGGGGTAAAGGGTAATTAGCCACCCTGAAATTGATTGAGAGAACTTTAAATGAAATTTTTACTTCGCTTATAATATATATGATTTTTTCATATTCACAAGTTTAAATTTATGGTTTCCAATTAAAAAGATCAAAATATTTAATTTGGAATTAATTTTACCCAGAATTAAATCGAAAAAATTAACATAACTCAAAATTTTATCTCACTATATTATGAAAGTAACCCAAATTTTATTAAAAAAAATGAAACCCTTTGCTTTTCTAAAACGACGCTCCACTTTCTGGCCTCTCTTCTCTTGCCATTAACAGCCGCCTGAGCTTGAGTATTGACCCGATTCCGACGTCGTCTGCCATGGCTCATCTTCCCAGATCGTTAAGAGGTGATTTTATTACCGCTACTGGTTTCCTCCTCGTTGCCGGATTTTTGGGTGGTCGCCGGCATTAAACAGTAACTCTTCCTCATTCGTCCTCTTTTCGCCGCTGACGTCACACCCTCACCATCTCCTCCGGTGAACTCTCCTGCCAGATCCCGAACATCCCACGCACCATCACCAAACTTAAGAACCTTGACCTCCTCCGGTTAAAGCAAAACAATCTCTCCGGCCCAATTCCTGAATACATCAGCGAGCTCAAGAACGTTACAAGCTAACCGGTTCCGTACTAAACTCTTTCGGTTCCTTTGTAGCCAATAAAGATACATTTTAGGGAGTTATGCGCTTGTTGTATGTCTCACAGGGTCGGCATGCTTTGGTGTATGACATAAACGTTGCTTACCTGAGAGCTTGGTGTATGGCAAGCTCAACATCCTTGTAAGCTCCCTTCTTCTGCAAACTTCTTGTTAAAGCTGACAATTTTTTTTCTTCTATGCATTTAGATCAGGTTTTTACACATTGGAATTGTCACTGATCTTGTAACCGTTTATTGCACTAACTCAGCATCCTTATAAGTTCCTTTTTTGATAGAAAAAATCTTCGAACCAATATATTAGATGCCACAGTTTTATCAGGTTTCTACATTAGGTTGGTCTTAGCCTTGAAAGTTGAGACTTGTGATGGTTTTGCCTCAAATGAGCTTGTTGTTGAACCATATTATGATGCATGTTCGGTTGGATAAAATTTTAATGCAAGTTTCCATCTGTTACGCAAGATCTTTTATATAACATGGTGAGCATTATCTTACATCAGCATATCGATCTTGATTTGACAATGTATTTGGCAACCTAATACTTTTTCTGTGTTTTTAGATATTGTGGAACACCGTAACATGAAGCCGCAAAACATTCTTATTCTTGCTGGATAAGTCGTTAAGGTAACCTAACCTTTCTTATTCCGCATCCAAGAATAATTATTGAAATGCTTCTTGAAATTGATATATAACCCTGAGGTCTCGGTGGGGAAGCTCATCTGAGTTGTCCTTCTTTCATGTTATGAAAGCTATTGCATATATTAATCTGATAATTGTGATGGCTTTTCTTTCATGGATTCTTGTATTTTTTTTGGGGTTTAATTGTGTTTCTTAGGCAAGAAGAAACAACTGCATGTGGATAAGCGTATAGGTGTCTCTTCTTGTTTGTGTTTACGACAAGAGAGCAACATCTTTTCATCAAGCTGCCGGGCAGAGATAGCCTCAGTGTATGAATGTTCTGTTGGATAGTAATTCTCTCGTTTGTATCTAATATGTAATGGTCATATAGCTGTTTTGTATCTTTAACAAGTTGTAATGGTCATGAACACTAATTCTCTAATGATGAAGTGCTTGATATTTTGACATATCACATATAATTTGTTTATTTCCTTGTTCCAAATGACAAAAGATAAGACCTAAATAACAAGATAGATGATCATTTTACTACAAGAAAATAAGAGAGTACGTTTGGACAAAATCAGATTTCATTTTTACATTCTTTCCCTAGAAATTTATTGGCTTTGGGTATAATTGTAAGGAAGACAATCACCTTTTCATAGATTTTAACAATTATGAAGTATAATCGTTTTTGTAATAGATCATAAGGTTAGAAATTTTTGTAAACCAAATTAAACAAGAAAAATTGAACCATAATTATAACATATAAACATATTAATTTATAGTTTTTTTAAGAAGACATAAAAAAATCACATTAGCAAACGTAATTATAAAGCATATTGTACCAAACACATAAGTAACAAATTTTTTTACACAGAAAACTTTGTTTGGAAATTTCGTTTGGAGACTTTGTGTGCAAACTTTATCTGTAGACTAGCGTTTCCGAGACGTAGATGACACAGACGAACCATATACAGAGACATCGAAGCACATCTGTCAACTCTCCTACAGGTGATGGATCCCACCGCTGCAGATATTGTTAAATGGCACGGGAAAAATGGGAATCTCAGAAGCAAATTCATCTCTAAAGAGACATGGCAACAGATCCGACATATACGGCCAAGAATGAACTGGTATGAAGGGATCTGGTTTCCACAAACCACCCCTAAATACTCATTCATCACTTGGTTAGCTTTCAAAAACAGATTGTCAACAGGAGAAAGAATAAAAACTTGGAATGGAAATGCAGACTCTGCATGTGTCTTCTGCAAGGATCCATTAGAAACAAGAGATCTTCTCTACTTCATGTGTGCATTTACGAGAAAGATATGGGAGAAGCTGACTAAAGGACTCCTCCAGAACCGGTACGTGAAAGAGTGGGGGAATATTACTGAGCTGCTCATTAATCCTCCCTGGAACAGAACAACCACCTTCCTAGTTCGATATGCATTTCAAGTAACTATCTACTCAATTTGGAGGGAAAGAAATAACAGGAAGCATAGAGAAACACCTACATCAGAGGCTCAGCTAATCAAAATGATCGACAAAATTGTCCGCAACCAACTTAGCTCTATCCGAGAGAGTGGAGATAGGAGATATGAAGATGGTCTGGTGGTGTGGTTCTCAACAAGATAATCACAAGAATAGCTTAGCTTGAGTAGTAAGATTCAAAACAGTTTGTAAAACAGTTTGTTTTTTTTTGAGTATAATTTAACATTAGATTAAAAAAAAAGATTATCCAAGAAAAACTCCAAGGTTCTGGTTTGAAATTCTAGAGTTACGTATGTATATGGTTTGTGTTTCCTTCGATCATGCAAAATGTCCTTTTGTTCTTTTTTTACCAGAATGTCCTTTAATTGTTGCTTTGATCTGTTTTAATAAAGGGTTAATATTGTCCACTAATAGCCATTTAGGCGTTAATTGTTATCCGCCTTATGTGAAGATTAAATTAATTATATCCAATAAACAAATTTATAAATTAAAATATATAATATCAAAGTAGTTCAGTACAAAAGCTTATAAAGTTATAAATTATATATGCATACAAGAAGTTTTGTATAGCTAAAACTTAAACCAGTTCTAGTTGATGTTACTATCATTTATCGTTCACATGAGGATTACCTAAAGAGATGGAGACGTTACATTGTGGATCTTTCACTAACTACTTGTATATACATTTCAGAATAAATATGTCAGGCCGATTTTTGGTAAACATTTATGCTGATTAAGCTGAAATTGCAATAATCTTCTTTTATATGTTCTGACAGTTACACTATTTCATGCTTATCATAGGTTCATCAGTCAATATTCATGTCATGGAAATGGCAATGCGCATCTTTATTATGCATAATGTAATAGAGCAGGCCCAAAAATAACAAGGCAATACGTATATACGATATATATATATATAAATAATGCATATTTCAATAGATCCCATCCAATCTATTTTGGCCTTTCTTTGTTCAGTGCCACAGCCACTATATATATACTGATGTAGTGGAAATTTTAAAAGATAGAATAGTAATATATTGATTCTGAAAATACCCGAAAAACTATAATAATCATAAAATTATTCGTTTAGTCTGAGAATCTTCGAATAAATCAAGCTTTTTAGAATCGTTGAGATCTCTGTAAATCTACCGAAAATAAGGAAGAAATAGACAAAAGTTCAATTCTATTAATTAATCAAAAACTGAATATAACTGTAGTCTAAATGTCTTATTTATAATAAATCCAAAAATAATAAAAAAGTTATCTAAATAATTAAATAAATCATTAAGATATTTGAGATATTTTCAAATATCTTTCTGCATCATATACCACAACATTTTCAATTTCTGGTGAGTTCTAAAATTGTCCACCATCAACAAAGTGCATTTGCGACCTTTGTAGTCACATTGGGTAAATAAGTTCCCAGCCCCTTTTGTTAACTATATATCACCCGTCGACAGTTACATGATGTCAAGCTAAAATACCCTATTTTTGTGTTTTTAGATGCACCTTGTTGTTCTATAGAGTACTCACAAATCACGGCATATGAAAATTAGCCCATTACCACATTACTTTTAAATCACTATTATGATCTAGTCCTTGGGATCTCTAATAGAATATTTTTCTAAACATGATAAATATAACAAGTAATTTTATATAATGAGTTTTAATAATTAACTAACTGCGCGTAGGAATTAAAGGACAACAACGTTTATGAACTTACTGTACGTAAAAATATATAAAACAGTATTTTAGAAAAATGGAACTTTAGTTATCTCAGAGAGAAAAAAAAAAGCGTTTTCTGTTTTTTGCCTCTTCTATGACTCTCTCCTCTTGGGTTATTGTTTAAAAAGAAAATGGAAGTTGTTATTCGATGTGTACAAGAAAGGTTGAATAAAACGTGTTCGTCTGAGTCAGATCCATTTCAAATCTTAGAGCATATACATTAGTGTCATTTTTTTCTCCTCCAATAATGAACCTCATTAGAGGTCTTCAAACCAAATTTTTTTTTAATAGCTGCATTTTATTATTATCTAGAAATTACATAGTCATAGTGCAATACATATGAAATAACAAAAGGAACATCACACATGTTATCATCTCCTTGGCATTTCCTGCGTATTCGAGGCACTTTGTACTTCCAAATCAGGAAAGAAGATAGGAACAGCGATGTTAAGACGAAGATGGCGCAGACGGATCGGAACTTGGAGCGACTTGGCGTGCGGAGAAGAGAAAGGGAATTCAATCAAAAGAAAAAGGAATTGAATTTGATCAGAGAAGACGAAGACAATAGAGAAAAAAAAGAAGCCAGTAATGACAAGACACGTGTCTCTAAGAGACGGTCTCTTGCAGCTCTTACTCAAGAGTCGGTTCATAGAAAATCAGATTTTTTTCATTTTTTTTTTAATTAGAAACACCTATGTTTCAGGGTCCAAATTTGCTAAGAACCCTTAATGTACATGGTCTAAGTCACTATTGTACCAAGCTTAGTTGGCATTTATTGTCCAATAATTATATATTGCCACGTACGAATTTTGAAATTGATATAGTATTGATACTAGGTGTTTGGTCCACACCTTGTGCGGGCTTAGAGATTTTGATATTATAAATAAAAAAAACTGAAAAGAATTAAAACAACTATTTAAGACATACATATATGATAATATAAAACAAATCCAAAAAGTAAAAATTATCTAAAATTAAAGACAAAAATATTTACTAAATAAGTAATTAAACTCATAGACCAATTGAACTAAGACGTGTTCATCTCTACATAATTGTTTTTGATATTTTTTTTCTTTTTTTTTATCTTTTAGTTTTTCGAATCGTCTTTTTCTTATATTTCTTCATCATCTTCGATATTTATCTATTTTTTCACAACTTTTTTTTAGTTTTCTCTCGTTTTCTTTTATTTCTTTATCTTTCTCTTTTCCATTCAATATATCTTTTCTTACTTTTTATTCTTTAATTTTTTTATCACATCTTCTTCTTCTTCACTGTTTTCTACATCTTTTCCTCATCTTCTTCCTATTCTACTTATTCTTTTTCTTCATCATCACCTTCGTCTTCTTCGTTCTCTCCGACTTCATATTCTTCTCATTTTCCTTCGTCTTTTATATCAATCAAATACATGTACTGGAAAACTTTAACTCTCTCTCTCCCCCCTCCATGCATCCCTCCCTATCAGTTTCTCTCTCTCCCTTCCCCCTTCGTCCTAAACTGTATATAGCATACGTTTAGATCACTACATTTATAGTAAGAAGTGTTTCAAATATAAAAAAAATAAAAACACTGAAAATACAAACTAACATAGATTTAATATCATGTCCCTATAAGATTTAACTCTCTCTATCATTTCTCTTTCTCTCTCTCCCTCTCTCTCTGTTTATCCCTGTCACTCTCTCTCTATTTATCCATGTCACTCTCTCTATTTATCCCTGTCACTCTCTCTCTCTCTCTCTCTCTCTCTCTCTCTCTCTCTCTCTCCATCTACATGTCCCTAAAGCATCTACATGTCCTTGAAAGCTTTAACTTAATTTCTCCCTATCTCCCTCTTTCTCCAAATTCATCATCCACTTCCCCTTTTTATTCTTCAATATTTTTGTATCTTGTCATAACTTTTCTTATTATGATTTTTCTTTTTTTTTTTTCCGGTCTTCTTTTTCGTTTTTTCATTCTTCATTATCATCAACGTCAATTTTCTTATTCCTTATCTTTTCTTTCCTCTTCTTCATCGTTTACAACTTCTATTTCATTTCTCTCTTCTGATTTGTCTTCTTCTTCTTCTTTTTCTTCCTCTTTTGTTTTGTTTTACTCTTTTTCACATTCTTTATCTTTTGGTTTAGTTATTCTTCGTATTTTTCTTATTCTTTTTTTTGTTTTTA